TCTCTCTACAAACTAAATCAGTATTATACCATTCATTAATATTCTCTTTTTACTTCTTATCCAAGAATGCCACCAAAGGATCAGGCCAATGTACCATCAGTCTTTCAGGTAGACACTTATTGTCTCAGAATATTAAGTTCAACCAATGCTCATTTAAAAGTTTTTTAAATGTCTATTATTTTCCAGGCATTGTTCTAGGTTGTGAGGAAACAATGATAAACCAGACTGACAAAGATTCTGCCCTTATGCAAGAAAGGGAAAAGACTGGTAGATGATGAGGTCAGAAAGCTAGGTGGGGTGACTAAAGAACACGGTAAGGAGTTCTATTCTACCTAAAATGGGAAGTTACTTGTCTTAGTTTCCTGTGGCTACTGTAACAAATTACCACAAACTGGTGGCTTAAAACACAACAATTTATTCTCACACAATTCTAGAGGCCAGAAGTCCTAAATCAGTATCACTCAGCCAAAATCAAAGTTAACAAGGCCACACTTCCTCTAAAGATCTAGGGTAGAAACTATTTGTTGCTTCTTTCAGCTTCTGGTGGTTTCTGTCATTCCTTGGTTTGTGGCTACATCACTCCAATCTCTGCCTCTTCACACTGCCTTCTTCAGATATGTGTCAAATCTCCCTCTGCTTCTTCTTATGAGGACACATGTGATGGAATTTAGGAGCCACCGAGATAATCCAGGGTACTCTATCTCAAGATCCTTAACCACATCTACAAAATACCCTTTTTCCAAATAAGGTAACATTTACAGTTTCCAGGGATTAGGGCCCAATATCCTTTGCAGAGGGGCCATTATTCTGCCTACCACAGTACTGAAGGAATTTTCATGCAAGAAAGCAGTAAGATATGACTGATGCCTTTAAAGATCACTCTGGGTGAGTATGCTCTAGGAGGCAATGAGGAAGCAGTAGATTCAGTGAGGAAGCTGTTGTAGTAACAGGATGAGAGATGACTAAGGCTTGAGAAGTGAAATTGCACATAATATATCTATTGCAGTCATGATCAGCTAATGAGGAGTTTGAATAGTAGTTAAGAATGAGTACTCAGGAGTCAGACCTCCTATTCAAACATAATCCTGCCACTTAACTAGCTTTGCAACTTTGGGCGAGTTACTTGTTTCTTCCTCTATCAAGTGACCCTTATAGAACTTCTATGAGGATTCACAGACAAAAATGTATAAAATGTTTGACAGAGTACAGTACCTGACACATAGTAAGCCCTCAATAAATATTCACTATAGTTATTTTTATCTGTCCCTGGTATTGCACACTTTCTATAATTTTATGACATATATTTTGGTTCCCAAAATATAACTTAACAAACAAATAAATTTAATAACTCAACAGGTAAGACTTTTTCTGCACTTCATTATAAAGGAGTCACCTTTACTACATGGTGTAATTATATCATTACTGTTCTACATTTTATAAAATACCATGGTATCTTAGAAATTTATCTTGACAATCAAATTCTTTCACTTCTAGATAACCAGAAGTTCAAATCTAATATTGAAATCTAACATCTAAGATTTCAATATAATATATTGTGGAAAAAGAAATAACACTTAATCAATAAAGACCACAGAAGTTATTTCTTTTTCAAAAGATACGCTAGGGTTAAATCATGTAACATGAAAACACTGTAACAACTCTATTTAAAAAGTGTCTCCACAATTAGGGAATTTAGATTGGAGGTCAAAATATTTACTTTCTAAATTCTCAGTTAAATTTAACCTTGATACAACTATTATGTACCCATAATTAAAAATTTTTTAAAAAACAAAAATAAATCTTCCCATGTGTACTTCAAAAACTAAAAAAAATTAAAAAAAATTAAAAAAAAATTTAACCTTGAGATGACTTAATCATACTACTACTCATTGTCCATTTTGGATGTAAGTTAGAAAATAAACCGTGGAAATACTATGGATTAGCTCAATTATAATCCTAACTCTGTTTCTGTCATTTTATTTTTAACCTTAAATTCCTTCTTCTCTAAAACAGTGAAAACAGCAACCTATTTTAAAAACCATTTTTCAGTTAATACATTATTATAAGGACAAAATGCAAATGCAATAAAACGAAAATATCACTGGTCAAAGTTTATAATACATAAGGCCAGCAAAATCTCCAACATCACTTTATCTGATATTCTGTAAGGTAAAAGCCAGCTCAAAAAGCTGCATATACTACTGTTATAAATGTGCTAAGAATCTTGAGAATGATTAACTTCTCGCATAAAATATTTATTGCTAAATACTTTAAATTCTCTAAAAGTGAATCATTCATAGATTACCAGTATTGGTAAGTACTCAAATTATTTTTCCCTATGGATTTAACAGACTATCAACTAATATATTGAAAACCAGCAGAACCATAGCAATGCTCAAATCAAAAATCTGGAAGTCATCCCTCATTTCCCAAATCTAATCCATTATGAAGTTCTGCTCATTCTACATCAATAAATATATCTCAGATATGACTGCTATTGTCTATTGTCCTAATTGGTTGCCCTAATACTAGCCACCATCAAATAATGTGAGGGGCCAGGCACGGTGGCTCATGCCTATAATCCCAGCACTTTAGGAGGCTGAGGCAGGAGGATTACTGGAGGCCAGGAGTTCGAGACCAGCCTCAGCAACATAGCGTGATCCTGTCGCTACAAAAAAGAAAATTAGCCGGGTGTGGTGGTGTACTCCTATAGTCCTAGCTACTCAGGAGGCTAAGGCAGGAGGATCACTTGAGCCCAGGAGTTCTAGCCTGAGTGATAGAGTGAGACTCCATCTCTTAAAAACAAATAAAAATAACACAAGGACCAGTGCTGAAGCTTCCTAATTGTCTCATTCCAATCCACTCTCCATAAAATAACCAAAATGACCATTGTAAAATATAAACTGCCCTGCTTAAAGCCTTTAATGGCTTTCCACTCCCCTAAGAATGAAAACCAAATCCTGCATGCTCGTCACTGACCATTTCTCTAATCTGTTTTCAAGTCACACCCACCCTCATCCATTGGATTCCAGCCACATCTGCCTCTCTCAGTTCCACCAAGCTCTTTCACCTTAGAGCTATCCTCCGTTCTCTCTACCTGGACTATTCATTCCTGACTCTCAAATGGCTGCTTCCTCCTGTCCCTTCGGTTTTCAGCAACTCAAAGAGGCTTTCCTTGACCTCCCAATGCACAAGTGGACCCCCACACCAACCCCAGTTACTTTATTACTTTAATCTCATTGTCTCCTGTTCTTTACTCTCAGAGCCCTTATCACTAATGACAGTTATAGTGTTTGGGGAGGAAAGAGGGGTTACTTATGATTTTACAAAAATAATTAAGAGGTTTTCTAAGCTACTGAAAGTGTACTTTATTAAAATGTCTCTACTTGGAAAATGACTACAGAAAACTTTACGACTTAAGATCTGGACTTCTCCATTTCTATCAGCTAATTTCCCTAAATATTTTCATCATAATTTAAAATGTATATAATAATCCTTCCCCCACTCAATTATTAGGTACAAAAGATCAGCCATGAAAGCTCCAAAGTATTCTCCCAACAATGACAACATGTTACTGGAAAAAAAAAATGGGAAATTCAAATCTTATTTCATACCAACTTACTCTGACTTTTGGCAAGACTCTCCGAAGCGTCTCAGCAGGATTCTGCCGCATCAAAAATGGAAGATTTGCAATCACGCTCGTTCCTTGGATATCTTGACCAGCACTTACAAAGAAGACACAAATTTAAAATTTGTAATTGTAAGCTGAATTCCTGGTCCACAGTTTATAAACAGCACGGATTAATCTGAAAATGACTGTTTTGAATGATAAGCACTCAGACTTCTGACAAAGTTTTAAACATGAAACACATAAACACATCATTTAGATGTAAAAATAAAATCAGAACTGAAATTTCACTAAGTGAATCTTATAACAAATACTTGAAGATATTAGTTATGCTTATGCTATTTACATATGTCTTCTGAAACTACTTATATACATGTCTTAAGTCTAAAAGTCTCGAAACTATTATTAAATACTCACTTTAAAATTCTACCTCATTTTTTACTTGTGAATTTGCTGTACTTTATAAAAAATATAAATTGTAAAATTTTATTCTGATAAAATATTAATAATCATAGCAACAGGGAAAGCAATAAAATCAACTACAGAAAAATCACACAACTTCCTTTTGGTACGTTGAAACTACTTGTTGCACTAGACTGACTCCATGAGTTGCCAGAAACTTCTTTTATTTTTTTTTTTTTTGAGACAGAGTCTCACTCCGTTGCCCGGGCTAGAGTGCTGTGGCGTCAGCCTAGCTCACAGCAACCTCAAAGTCCTGGGCTCAAGCGATCCTACTGCCTCAGCCTCCCAAATAGTCAGGACTACAGGCATGCACCACCATGCCCAGCTAATTTTTTCTGTATATATATTTTTAGCTGTCCAGATAATTTCTTTCTATTTTTTTTTTTTTTTTGAGACAGAGTCTCGCTTTGTTGCCCTGGCTAGAGTGAGTGCCATGGCATCAGCCTAGCTCACAGCAACCTCACACTCCTGGGCTCAAGCAATCCTTCTGCTTCAGCCTCCCGAGTAGCTGGGACTACAGGCATGCGCCACCATGCCCGGCTAATTTTTTCTCTATATATATATTTTTAGTTGTCCAGATAATTTCTTTCTATTTTTTGGTAGAAACGAGGTCTCGCTCTTGCTCAGGCTGGTCTCGAACTCCTGACCTTGAGCGATCCACCCGCCTCAGCCTCCCAAAGTGCTAGGATTACAGGCCTGAACCACAGGGCCCAGCCGCCAGAAACTTCTTAAAGATAACTCAATACTCTTAATATACTTCAATAGGGTATATTCATACAATAACTTTTTGATGTAAAATTAAGGCTTTATCAAAATAATCTCAGTGATACTCTGAGTAGCCTAAATACTTCGAAAAAAAAAAAGTATTCAGATTCTTCTGAACAATTTCCATAAACTACAAAAATGTTTTGTTTTTAAAATATAACCTAAGTGACATAAGTTCTGCAAGTACTTGAAATATACATCAAAAAAATGCTAGTAAATATGGCATCACCTCAGAGGGAAATTCCACCTATTCGTAACTGACACCGACTTAAATATTAATTGCTGATGTCATAATATTTATTTACTTAACTAAAATTATTTTTACTTATCTCTTCAAATGGATTTATAGTTATATGTACATAAAACCTTAGCACACGTCTTAAGAGTTTTTTTTAAGTAATATACTTTTGCTTCAGAGGTTTATAAGTTCTGTTAATAAGAAGCATACTCTGATTCTAAATGAAGCTGTCCTACTGTGAAGAAAGGTTTTTTTCTGTTGCAATATGGTAGGCTATGAAATATAGGACACCACAATCATTCCACTGTTCTCATCACTCTTTAGGTAAATCCTTTAAGAGACAAAATCAAGAAGGAATAGAGAAGAGTACAAAATAGGGAACTCATGCCAAGATGGATAGGCCATCAAAGAAAGGAGAATTAAAGGTGCATAGGAAAATACCACTTGTAGCAGAGTGAATGGTGGCCCCCAAAAGATATGTCTACATCCTAATGCTGGAACTTGTGAATGTCGTCTTAATTTTTAAAAGGATCTTGAGATGAAGCAGTCATCCTGGATTATCTGGGTAGACCCTAAACCCAATAACAATTTTCCTTAAAAGAGACATTCAGAGAAGGCAATTTGACCACAGAAATTAACATGATGCAGTCATAATCAGGGAATGCTGACAACCACCAAGAAGCTAGAAGAGGCAAGAACGGATTCTCCCCTAGAGCCCTGCTGACATCTTGATTTCAGACTTCTATTTTCTAAAACTGTGAGAGAATAATTTTCTGTTGTTTTAAGCCACCCGATTTGTGGCAATTTGTTGCAGTGGCCACAGGAAATAAATACACTGCTAAAGAACTGAAAAAGAGAATAATCTGAAAAAGTGATGTTTAATATGATACTATCAAACCCAGAGCAGAGATTCAGTAAGTATCTCTTGAAAGGATGGATGAATAGATGACAAGTTGAATGAATGATATTAGGAATGTTTAATATTAAACATTCAGTGAATTTTATTCACTAACTTGCAATTAGTGGAAAAAGAACATGATCTCTCATACCTCATAGATGAGAAGACAAAGCTTTACACAGGAAGGCAAAAAAAAAGAAAATAGAAACAAAAAAGAGAGAGAACAATGGAAAACAAAAAATAAAATGGCAGACTTTAGCCCTAAAATATCAACAATTACATTAAATATAAATGGCCTAAATACATAAATTAAAAGGCAGAGATTGGCAGACTGAACTAAAAAACATGACTCAATTACATGCAGTCTACAAGAAACCCATTTAAATATAACAGTTATTAGTAGGTTGAAAGTAAAGAATGAAAAATGATATAGAAGTGAGAATCAAAAGAAACAGGAGTGTCTATATTAATATCAGATAAAGTAAACTTTATAGAAAAGAAAATCACCACAGACAGATAGGGACATTACAAAATGATAAAAGAGACAATCCATCAAGAGACATAGCAACCCTAAATGTGTATATACCAAACAGTGTTGTAAAATATGTGAAACAAAAACTGATAGACTTGAGAGGAGAAATAGATAAATACATAGGTACAGGTGGAGGTTTCAACACACTTCTCTCAACAACGGATAGAACAACTACATAGAAAATCAGCAAGTATACAGAAGAATTCAACAGTCCCATCAACTAAGATCTAATAGACATTTATAGAACACCCCACCCAACCATAGCAGAATACACATTCCAAAAAAGTGCCCAAAGAACGTCTATCAAGACAGACCACATCCTGGACCATAAAACAAACTTTAACAAATTTTCAAAAATTGAAATAATAAGAGAGTTTTCTCTGACCAAAATGAAATCAAACAAGAAATAAGTAACAGAAAAATCCCTAAATTCCTGGAAACTAAACAACACACTTCTATATACTCCATGGGTCAAAGAGGCAGTCTCAAGGAAAATTTAAAAATACTTGAACTGAAATGTAAATGAAAATACAACAAATCAACATTTGTGGGACTACAACTAACACAGTGCAAAGAGGGAAATATATAGCGCTAAATGCATACATTAGAAAAGAGGGAAAAGCTCAAATCAAAAGAAATAATAAAGATCAGAAATTAATAAAAACAGAAAACAACATAGAAAAGGAAGAAAACAAAGACCTAGTTGTTTTTTAAAAATCAATAAAATCAATTAACCTCTAGCAAGAATGGCAAAGCAAAAAACAAGACACAAATTACCAACAGCAGGATTGAAACAGTAGATATCACTATAGACTGTACAGATATCAAAAAGATAATAAGTGAATGCTATGAGTAATTCTACACATACAAGTTGACAACTTAGACAAAATGGACTGATGCCTCAAAATACATAAACAGCCACAACTCATCCAATATGAAATAGATAATCTGAATAGTTCTACATTTATTAAGGAAATTGAATTCATATTCTCAAACTCCTACAAAAATCTCCATGCCCATATGGTTTCACTGGAGAATTCTACCAAACATTTAGTGAAGAATTAACACTATTCTAAATAATTTCTCCCAGAAAAGAGGGGGGTAACACTTTCTAAATCATTTGATGAAGCTCAAAATCACTATAATCCATCATATTAACAGGCTAAAGAAGAAAAAAAATCACACGATCATATAAATTCAGAGAAAACATTTGACAAAATTCAACACATAGACGCTGAAATTTCAAATTCAATATCATTTATAAGCGCTCAAAAAAATGAAATACTAACAAAATGTGTACAGGATTTGTATGTTGAAAATTACACAATATCGATGAAAGCAATCAAAGATCTAAACAATTAGAAAGACATGCTATGCTGATGCACTGGGAAGTTTAGAATAATAAATATGTCAGTTCTCCCCAAAATCATATACAGGTTTAACACAATTCCTATCATTAAGCAAATACAAAGTAAAAGCACAATGAAATATCACTATATATTTATTAGACTGGCTAAAGAAAAATGATGACAATACCAAAAGCAAAGAAACTGGATCACTCATTCATTGCTGTTGAGAATGTAAACTGGTACAGGCACTCTGGAAAACAGTTTGGTGGCTTCTTTAAAAACTAAATGTAACACCATGCAACCCAGCAAATTCACTCTTGGGCATTTAGCCCAAAGAAATGGAAACTTATGTTCACACAAAAACCTGTGGATGAATGTTTGTTTATTGAAAAACCTATGTTCACACAAAAACCTATGAATGAATGTTTATAACAGCTCTATTTGAACAAAGAAAAAAAAGAAGGAAACACTCATATGTTCTTAAATGGATGAATGCTTAAACAAACCGTGGTATGTCCATACCATGGAATGTTATTCAGCAATAAAAAGGAACAAACTAATGATATGTGTAGCAACCTGAATTAATCTCCAAAAAATTATGCTAAGTGAAAAAAAGTCAATCCCAAAAGGTTATATACTATATAATCTCATTTGTATAACATTCATGAAATGACAAAATTATATGAATGGAGAATAAACTAATGGTTTCCAGGGGTTAAGGAGGGATATACAGGCAGGAGGGAAGTAAGTGTGACTATAATAGTATAACATGAGAGATCCTATGGTGATGGAAATCTTAGGTATTATGACTGTATCAACATCAATATCCTGGTTGTGATATTGTAATATAGTT